GCGCGGTCGCGCAGCGCCAGGCTGCCGTTGTGGTACTCGATGGCGAAGAGGCAGTCCTCCGAGCAGGAGCTCTGCAGCTGCCCGTCGCGGGGTGCAGGTACAGGTTGTTGCACGTGTGCAGCGCGTAGTGGTTGTCGCGGAACTCCAGCGTGAAAGCGTGTCCTCGCCCCAGGGCACGTTGGCGTCCACGTGGATCTCGTCCATGTCCTCGGAGAGGTGCGCGAACCGCTTCCGCCCCAGGCTGTACACGTTGACCTGGGGTCGGGCCGCCAGGTGGACGTACCTGGCCGGCGCCCGGAGCAGCGTCAAACGCAGGAGAGGGGGGGGGAAGGGGTGGGCGCGGACAGGAGGCGGTGTAGGCGACCTGAGCGAGTTGCATCAGGGAAAGCTGTCTGTGCCGACACCAGCGAGCGAGCCTGCCCCACCTACAGATTGCATGGGCTTGTAGGGCCGCGCAAGAAGACTCTGCATAATGAGCGCGTGCAACTAGCTTGGGCAACACTGAAGAATGCGGCTCATGTTTGCACCCGGTGACAAACGATTCGTCCTTTCACTCTCGCAATGTGATACCATCCCGGGTCCCGAGCCGGCCCATCGTGATCCGTCCCAACCTAGCGGAAGATCGGCTACTGAGTAAGCGGTATGCCAAGGTTACGTTTGCCGCACATCTGCTGCATCCCACTCCGCGTTCTCTCGACTCGTCATAAGATCCTAGCACAAACAACCAAACGCAAGACGGCACAGGCAGAACGCCATCTCCGGCGTTTCGCCCCACTGTATCACCCGACCAGAACACCGTCGGCAAAGCCAGGACCCCAATCTCGCACTGAAATAACAACTGACCCATACACAGTCGTGAAGGCACGTCATAGAAGACATGAGCCACCAGCGTGTCGAAGCCATTCTCCCAGCCCCCCCCCCCGCCGTGATGCACCCAGCAAAATATTTTTTTGTCATCCAACAAAATCATTCCGATCTGATTTCTTTAGATTCGCCGGCACACGTGGAACATTCTCTCGATGACTTGATGTGGGACTGTGTGGTAATTGTGTAGTTGTATGTGCGTGTGTTTCGTTAGGTTTTTTGTTTGTGTGTGCATCGTACTTTATTGTTCTTAAAACTCGACTGCTGTCGTAATTAGACTTTTGCCTGTGGAATGCTCATGTCCTGAATAAACAAATCCACCCGCTGGCCAAGCCAGAGTCCCCCCTCGCCCCCCCCCCCCCGCCCCGCTCCTCGCAGTCCGCCTCAACAGCAGCTGCAGGTTCAGCTCCTCACCACAGCTCAGCATCCGACGGCGCCTTGGCGTTGCAGACCAGCTTATCGCCGGCGGCGCCCATGAAGTACTTGCGCTCCACGTTCTTGAGCGCCCAGCGGCCGCTACCGTCGTCGGCCACGGCGATCTCGAACATGGCGCCCGGCTCCAGCTCATCGGCCTCGCACGTGACGTTGCCGAAGCTGTCGACGGCCAGGTACTTCCCCAGGTGGGAGCGCAGGCTGACGTGGTCTCGCTGCCCGGTCGGCTGCAGCGTCCACAGCTGCTTCTTCTTCAGGGAGGTGCCTGCGGGAGACACCGGGGTCGGGGCTCAGGCAGTTGACGCAGTGCTTTACGCAAGTGATCTTGGCAACAGAGCCGCCACCGGCGGTGTTCTGCCATTGAACCGGATTTTCCCCGCCGCACAATCCGTCAGATAGCTGTCGTGATGCTGCAATGTTTGCAGTCTGAGCGGTTACCAACGACGTAAAAATGGTCCAAACCATCTAGGTCAGAGGGAACAGATAGTGGGGATGATGCCTGAGGGTCTGTAAGCCGTACGCAGTGGGTCAGTGCATGGACCGCTGCACGCACACGAACTCGATTAGTCTGACTCATATTTTTGATTCGCCATTTAACATGCTCTGCTGGCCTGAAAAACGCAATGGTTGAAACGCAATGAAAAACACCACTTACGAATGTAGTAATGGGTGTCGAAACTAAGCACAAGCAATTGACTCGTGTACTAGCACAGTTGTTTTCTCGAAGTCTCCCTGACCTTAATGCATTCAAACATCCTGAAACGCTTCGGAAATGTGTTGCACACATGATGTGGGCAGTCAGGCTTCGATGAAACTGTTTCTGCCATCCATATCAGTTGCTTTTAGAAGTTATGTTGGCAAAAGGTTATTTTCACTATCAACTCAAATTGTTAAAGGAGGTTCCCTTGAAAAACTTCATATAATATGGAGCGTGCACACTTCGCAAATACGCACTTATTCCCGAACCATCATTAAACATTGCAAAAACGTCACGGAGAAAATCCGCGTGAGAAACGGATGGCGGCAGTGCACGCCGAGCGTGGATGGCATGTTGTCCTCGGTCCGCAGCCGTCCCGACCAGCAGCGTCCGTCGCTCACAACAGTGACACCCATGCATCGGGGCAGGCCTAACCAGTGGTGTCCATACATCGGGGCAGGCCTAACCAGTGATACCCATACATCGGGGCAGACCTCACCAGTGGTGTCAATACATCGGGGCAGACCTTACCAGTGGTGCCCATACATCCGGGCAGGCCGCCGCCACGCCCACCAGCGGAAAACACTGCAGAACCCGGCGAGTGACCTGACTTCAGGATGCGACAGCACACCATTTCACCAAAGAAGCATCAAAATCGCATTCGGGCTTCGAACACTGAGCATAGTTTCCGTCCAGACGCGCTGTGGCCGAACATGATGCGCTGAAGGACGTTTTGGCACAGGCGTAACGCCTTGCCCCACCCGAGTATTGGAACCGCCAGTTCCTTGTCTTGAGTGGGCCAGCTGTCTGACACGTGCTGCGTGGTACGCGGAAACAGAGACAAAACAGCTGGTCGAAATGATTGCTGACCTACGTCGATGGCGCGGCAGGAAGCATCCATTATTGTGCTAAGTCGCAGGACAACGGCGGAGGAGTACACACAAAAAGAGCTCGAGCTAAAACGCGACAGGAAAAAAAACAGTCCACGATGGATGGCTTCGCCGATCCAGCTACAATGGTATGGAAGGGTGAGTTCGCGGGTCCGGCCAGAGACCTGAACAGATGCCTTCGCCGGCACCCGTCAGACGTTCATCGACCGCGAACACCAGCGTGACGCGTCACAGATAACACAGATGGCGGGCTGTCGGTCAGCTGAACGCGGGACTGCGCCCGCCATCTAAGCTAAGCAACCACGCGCGCTCGCCTCGGGCTCATTGATCACTTCATGTCTTGCGGCATGCAGTTCGCGAATGTCCGCGCCGCCTGTCGCAGCCGGGACCTACGGGTATAGCAGGCACAGGCTGGAGCGCGCATGCGTCGGGGTTCGGGCTAGTTGCGTTCCAAACACGTCTGAATCAAATGCACGTCGTGATCCCTACTTGTGAACTATTCGCTGGGGTAAGAGAAAGAATACCAGCGAGCGGAATAGCAGACGGAAAAGGCCAACGCTGATCTCAGGTCGCAACGGTCACATACTTCCCAAAAAGCTAATATTACACGCGACGCGATTCATAGACAAACATATTTTAAGTGTGGGTGCGAACTCACGGGAATCGCATACCAAAAGCAGGATGTTAAAATCATTCTGCCCGTGCGTGTCTACCACGGTAGAAGAATCTTGGCCCCGCGTCCGCTTTGTGCATGGAATGCTCACAGACGTCATTCAAGATTTCGCGAAGTCCGGGCTTGTTTAACCTGTCCTCTCCCCAACCCTGTGACGGAGCTCATGTCTTGCACGTAGGTACTGACTGTCTCTTGATTAGGAAGAATACAAAAACACAAGTCGGCACACGGTCAAACGAGAGAAAATGCGAACAAGACTAGGAGAAAAGCGCGAAAGCTAGGAAGCGAGGAATGTGTGGAGCACCGTGGAGGCATCCCAACAACGAAACCCGTGTCTCCATAACTCCGGATCGACCTGTGTTGAAGCCCAAAGGGGTGGGGGGGGGAGGCATATATCGGGCCGATCTGGCCCATGATATGGGCAGGACGGCATCCAAAAACGAACACGGTCAGGAGAGAGTGCATCTGCTGAAGCACCATGCGTTCACACGAGCAACAACACGCAAGGAGCCGGACTCTCCACGTGTAGGACCGAACGTTCGACACAATGGACCGCAACCGATGACTGCAACTGCAATGAACTGATCGACCGTGAGATCCAAAGCGGCCCCAAAAAAGCCTTCACACCGGTGTAGCCGTGCTTCGAACGGATCCCCGACCGCCGGCGTCTGGTGACCCGTGACGGTGGTTTGGCGTTGCGACAACGTTCAGTGACAACATAGCTGGATAGCAAACCAGCGCAAAATGTCGTAAGTACATGATGTGTTGCTCGCGGAGGCTTATAGAAATGGATAAGTAGAAACGGTGTTGGAATGAAGCAATCTTTCAATGTTCGCATTCTATGCTGGGTAGGTACAATTTGTATCTAGTTGCTTAATATAATATGCATAGCCCCTGGCCTCGATAACCACTAGATGTTTCGACGCTGTGGCAATGAAATTCACCCAAGCTAGGTGTGCGTGTGTGTGTGCAGGACAGACATATTTGTTTCGTTATTTCTTTCCGGTCAGCGGCCACGGAGCCATTATCACATTTTGGGAAAAATCGGTTCAGGGAGCTACCGCTCCTGAAACGACGTATTACACGTTTTAACTAAACTGGATGTTAAGCTAATGGTCTAAAAATATGGATGTTTGTTGAACCTGACACGTCTCCCGATATTCTTGTGTTGGTTTCCAAATTAACAAGCACAGAGCAGTTCTGTCAATCCCAACATACACTAGCAGTTCCTTTCCGAAAGCCCATCATAACAAAGTTTGAGAGACACTGAACGCTGCCACAGGCTGTATCAGTCGTATTCTTCCAACATCAGCGGCCCCCAGTCCCCGTGGTAGCGTGGCCGAGTGGTCTAAGGCGCTGGTTTTAGGCACCAGTCCGAAAGGGCGTGGGTTCGAATCCCACCGCTGCCAAACCGTTTTTGATGTATTCCAGGTTAGCTTGGGATGCTGGACTGCCTTCAACACTGCGGTACTTCCCCCCCTCCATACCCCTATTACTGTGCTTAATGCTTCTAACCGTTACGTTCTCTACAAAAGAAACGAGATCATTCCTTCATGTTCTTCACACGTGAACAAAAAGCTAATACGAGCGAAAGACGACAATGTCTGTTCAAACAAAGCAAAGGAAAAGAAACATACCAGTACAGGGGGTCCTCTGAAAGGCAGGCCACGAGGCTGAACAGGTCGGTCCCCGCTCCAACCCAACAGCAGAGCGTCCCTGGCAGGCCGGCTCGACGACAGTGACAGTGTTTCCCAGCTCGGGCGGCCAGCGCTGACCACAAACCTAATCAGCGGCCGGTGGCGGCAGGCCGGCACGCAACAGGCCAGACCGGCCAGACACACCGCCCACGCCACTCAGCATTGAGGAGAAAAGCTTGTTCCTACGCAGGATCCGCAGGTGACTCCTTCACAGCATACCCATCTCCCTCCCCCCCCCCCCCTCCCATCCCCTCAAACACCCACATCGATCTACCCGTCCGTTCTCGCCGAGCCGCGCCGTCTGCGTCGTGGGTGGGAGCACGGGGGTGGCAGCCCTTGCTGCCAAAACGCTCCGCACGCTTGAATAACGTCTCTCGGGCCGATAACGGGAGGTAGGCAACCCGGGCAACCCGGCTGCTGCGCACATAGTACGGCGTATCCACCATACTGCTTAATGTACATAATCGAAAATAAACAGCAAATCAAATCAACGGCTGTCACCCAGACTGTGCAACCAACGAAGGCAGAACAGCATGCCGCTGCCACTTCGCCCGTGAGTGTGAGCTCATGAGGTCTGGTCTCATCCTGGTCCTGCTATCAGCGTATGCGCGCCCTATGAACCGGCTGCCGTCACCACTTTGATTGTTATGACTGAGCCAGTGACAGATAGGCGCGCGATAGAAGGATGCACACCTGCTGACATATAAATTAAGTGCATCTCATGCCTATCTGTGTAACCACTGCTAACGGCTGCGAGGTATGTGCCCCCTCCAATTTCTTCAATGTGTGATGTTATTCCTCTTTTTTCCCAAAAGATGTCGGTAAAATTTGGACGAAAAAGCTCATTCGCTCCAATTCCCCGGAAAATTCTCGTTTATTACGCGTTCCTCAGTTTAAATGTAAGTGTCATAGTTTGACCCCCAAACGCGATTTCTTCCATCTCAGAGAGGTGATAACACCCAAGCGTATTTCTTAATGCCGCCCAAGGGTATCTCTTGCATGCATGCATATAGTGCATGCATGCATGTCGTGCATGTCGTGTCGTGCATGTCGTGCATGCATGCATACATGCATGCACAACATATAGACCGCGCGCGGAATCACCAGAACACCGCAATTTCAGTGCGATGGACTGCCAATCGTGCCAGCCCCCTCCCCCCCCCCCGCCAGACCTCAGCCGCGCCCACTGACCGTTGGCGTTGATCTTGAAGCCGAACGTCTCGGCCGTGAGGTACTTGCTCTTGGAGTTGATGACGCCGACGGTCCAGGCGCGCTCGTCGACCGCCTCCGACGCGCCGTTCAGACCCGTGCTCGAGCCGTTCATCTTGTCCATCTGTCGGCGCCGGGCGGCCCGGTTAGCGGCGGCGCGGGACGGGCCAGGTCAAGGCCCGACACGCCTCGTAAAATCGGCGCCGCCTTGACGCCAGGTCGGGTCAGACCCAGGCACGTGGCCAAGAACTTTACACAGGACGGCAGCTGTCAAATGTCTCCAAAATCCTGCGAAATCATCCAGCGTCTGATGTGAAGCTCTCCGCTCAGGTGAGGGGCGAGGGGCACGGCCCACCTGGCCCTACCCCTGGCTACGTACCTGGTAAGATCACGCATCACATCAGACCACGAAGGTCCGCTCACCAGAACCCGTGATTTGCCGGGAGCGTTGGTGCATTGATGTTCATTGATGGAGGCGAATTTGCCCGACCGTCTATGAAAGAATCGTGCAAACACCTATTTGACAGCCGCGTAATAACAAGGTTTACAAGTAACTTGCATTCGAAGAAAACGTCACGGATTGTTCACACGTGATTTGTCTCACCAAAGAAACCGTCACGACTTCAAATAAGATATACCAGGAGACGACCCAACAGCCCGGATCAGCTGACCATCTGCGGTCGGGCCGTGTCTCCACGACTATCCCCCTCTCTTTCTCATTGAGACATGCACTTCGCTTCAGTAAACACAGCCCCCAGACGCCTGCTCTGCAGGGACGATATATTTACTGCACCAACATAAGTAGCACATTTATCTGTTTCAATACGTCAGCCCACTTTTCACAATACCACACACTGCTTTCAAAAAACAACGCCCGGCAAGCTTTGCGATATGAAGGTACCTTTGAATGTCGTGTGTTTGCCCAGTCGTTAGGCTTTTTGTCTCCGTCTCAGGTATTCGTGACAACGCACTTGCAGATCGCGATCACATATTTTTAAGTACCTTCACAACATGAATGCATTTCTTGTTCACCTGCTCCAGAGGCCTTCAACGGTAAGATATCCTTTGCCCAATACATCCGTTACGTCATGTGGTCTGTCTGCCCATCCGCAACCCAACTCTAATCAGTGGAGCCTACCAGCTCGCATTTGTTCGGCACTTTAGCTGTAAATTGCGGAAAAAGGCGGGAAAGGACATCACCAAGCTTTTGACTCGTGTTGGCAATGCCCAAAAGTAGATTCAATGTAAGTATTGACGACTAACAGACGCGCAAAAGGTGATAACAGTATTTCTTAAGTATCTATATGGCATTTCGTAAGCGTCTTACCCACACCAATACGCATGCCCATAGCTGTCTCCAAACTGAGCCCAACCTGGTCGGTTGGGCACAGTTTCCTATGGGTGCTCATCAGTTTACCACACGCGTAAGGTCCTCCGTGGTCCGAAGCATGTGCACACCACGTGGAAGTGTCAGCCCCCTACGCTCAGCTAGTACCAGGGGCATGGTCGTGTGCAGATATGCTCTGTGGGACTATGCTATTCCCACAGGAATGGTACCACAGGTCCTGTAATCATGAGATGTCTTGGGGTGAAATGAGAAACGCGTCAACGCACAAGGGCGAGAAAACAGGGGTGGGGGTGGGGCTACTCTCCTTCAACAATCATGGGCGACGCACGATAGGAAAGCGGATAAGAAGGCGCATTGCCCTAGCCTTCTACTCCTGTCCATTCGTGTGTCTTCTTTGTTCAAAACATAGCGAACAACGGATAATCGCGAGTCCAGTCAACACGGCAACACCGGCAAAACAATTCGGAGCTCAGGCCACAGGTAACCGGTAACCACCTTGCTCTCCCAGACAGGCCTCACAAGACCTGTAATCAGCACCCTCAATAACAAAGCTCTCATTTCAGTGGTCAGATCGCGGCGACCCCAGCAAAGTCCACGACGGGCGAGACCGAGCGGCGCCCGTCTGACCCGGCCGGTACCCCACCCCGGGGGGGGGATTAATTCCCACTCCGGATAGTACAGATTGCACAGCTGCGGTGCAAAAGCATGATACCCAGCACCGTCGGTCGGGTCTAGATCGGTACCCAGGTACTGGCCGTACCGGTGCCAGCGCACGCCATTTTCGTTCAGTTTTAGCCAAGACTTTTGAGAACGGGACGGTGGGTCGGCCGAAGACTGCAGGTTCACGCCCCCCAGCCCTTCCCGAACAACGAGCTAGTTAGTGGGGCTGAATGAACAAATGGAGCTCGTTGTGCAATCCTAATATCATTTTGTGATGCATCCATATTCATATATTGTATATATAGCATATAGCTTCACTTGAATATTACATTGTCTTCCGGAAGATGACATTAAATTTTATCGTAACTGAACAACAATACCAGAAGCAATTCCGCCGACTTGGAGGAATTGGACAAGACGTCATAAATTCAAGTCCAAGCATCTCTCACCCGAATGCCGGCTTCACGTAAGCGTTCTTCACACCCACCCCACCGATAAAACCAACCACACAAAAGGCGCCAACGCCACAAAACTCCCGCAGGGAAACGACTTACAGGTACGCACAGCGGCCACGTCGGAAGCACCGTCCCAGCACCCGCGCACCCCGTTCCGTCCGTGGCCGTGCTGTCGCCCCTCCGCCGTCGGTCGCGCCGGCACGTCTGGCTCGTGCCGCGCCGCCGCCGCGCCGCGTTTGAGTCACCGGCGTCACGGGTGTCGACACTGCGCCGGCCGCGGCGCCCAGTCGCCGGTAAGTGGGTGGAGGCGAGGGCCCGGCCGTGTAGGGTGGGGGGGGGGGGGGGGGGGGACTGCGGCAGAGATTTCAGTGGGAAAAAGAAAACCGCCTGAACGGAACCTGGGATAAAAGCCCGCCGATAAAAGTAGGGCACTGGGACAAGGAGGACTGCAAAAATGCAAAAAGTTAACGCCGTGGGCTAAGAACTAAAAAACTGATCTAAAACTAGGCTATGTAGCGTCTGGTCTAAAACTAGTTCATGAAGCGTCTAGTAGTAAATTAGCCTACGCGGTGTCCGAGTGGTGAGGCGCTGCTGGCTAAGTCGGACAGGATCGGGCTGCTGCAGGTACACATCTGCCGGCCAGTTCGCGTCAGGACTCGCCCGGCCCGCAGTCCAGCTCGCACCACAATCAGTCCACCCGTCCTCTTCTGGCGCGCACCCCGTCAAATAATGGTTCGCACTCAACTCCCCGCCTCTGCTCGTCTCGACTCTTGACGCTGCACGTGGTTATACGGAGCTGGAACGCCGACTGAAGCGCATGACAACGACAGAAGCCGCCGCTCGCGGTGCCATAAATAGCCGGTCAGAGCCCATCGATGACTCGTTTGCATGCGCCTCGGCCAGAATAGCGGAGTGCGTTGCATGCCCACCGTCAGTTCACTACGCGGCCGTACGCATGCGGCATGATCCGTCCCCTCAGCGCGATGTATGACATACAACGTCCCAGTCTGTGCTTTTTACGGGTGCTTTATGCCCTCCGATCACACATAATGGGGTCCTGAGGCCCAGCGGGGAAGCCGAACCTGCGCATCACCCAAACACCGCGGCCACCATCTGCGCGGCTTTGCTCCTGCCGAACCACAAGCTGGGGGGTCTTCACTGCCCGCGCCCGCTTCTCAAAGCGTACAGGGCCACCGCCCCACGCCACCTGCCCGTCCTCTGCTGCCTAGTGCCCCACGCGAAAATCTGGGCGCCGGAAGGACACAGGACCACGCTCCGTCTTCGTCGCCCCTCTGACCACCGGCCGCGAACCACCGCTCGACGACCGAGGGTAGGTCAGAGCCCCGCTGCTGTCAGCTCGTCCCATTGTCTGACCCGCCGCATTGTTTGATGGCGCACACGGCCTGAGTCGTCTCGTCTGCGTGGGACGTCCATCCTGCCCGGTGTCCGTGTCCGTGTCCGTGTCCATGTCCGTGTTCGTGTTCGTGTTCGTGTCCGTGTCCGTGTTCGTGTTCGTTTTCGTATCCGCGTCCGCGTCCGTGTTCGTGTCTGTGTTCGTGCCAGTGTCAGTGCCAATGTCCGTGTCCGTGTCACGAGTCTGTGTCCGCTCCACCGTCCGTGTCGGCGTCAGGTTCAACTACACACCTCATTGGAAGTGGTACAGCGCAGCGTGTCACTCGCCAGATCCCCTCGTCCATGCCGTTCCGGCGTCACTGACTGCCTCAGCGATGCCGTTACTGTCAGCGCCGTTGCAATGTGTTTTCTTCCCTCTCATGATTGCCGCATTTGGTCAGTTTCCGTGCCGGCACCCGAATAAGTGTCGGCACCGTTGCCAGTTCCCATAATCATCCGCTTGAGTTGTCAGCAGTTGCCAGACACGAGCTCGTCAGTCCCTGAATCAGATAGCTCGGTTTGGACGGCGCAAATGTGGGCGACATGGCTGTGTCAGCGGCCGGTGCAGAGCTACGGGCGCTGTCGACCACCAACGTGTCATGACAAAGTACTTCACGCTACAGCATGACATGTTTTGGTCATAAGGTATGGTTATAAGGTAGGGTCACGGTATATAAGGTAAGGTGTGGTTATTGGTTGAAGTTACTTTGTACGTATGCACTTTGCTTCCCAGCCTCAGTGTCGCACGCCTTAAGCAGCGGGGCAAATTATTCTTCAATACAAGACAGGCAAGGCGGGCACCTCCGACAACAGGAAACCGACGAAGTACCTGATGAATTAATTGCGCCGTTATTGCCAGCCACAAAACGCCTTGCAATCAGCACAACCGTTTGATTGACGCAGGAAGACAGCTGGCACGCTGCCAAATTGCACATCGGCGCAGCGATCGCGATTTGGTGCCTATTGCACGCGCAAAAACCTGCACAAAGACTCTCAGGCAGCCGCCAGCTGCCATCCAGCTCCGTAGCGGCAAACAAAGACGACGGCGAGCAACCCGGCCGAAAGTCGGGTTGCTCTCATAACCCACCAGAACGAACCTGCGCGCACGCAGACTGGTCAGCGGTGTGCAGAGAACATCAAAACCTCACGGGTTGCCCTTCCTCGCACACCCATCCCCCTAGCGGCCGTCGCATGTAAAAAAGACGGGAAAATTGCGAATGTCTCTCCAGCTTTTAACAGGGGACCGAGCGCATGGATAAGCCCATTCACTTTCTGTGGACGCACCCCTGTCTTCGGGTTTCCATACGTTCGTGCTGAAAAGATCGTAATACCGGAAGCGAACAGATAAGCCGCTTTGTGACGCTTCGGCCAGGCAGCCCTACCGGACATATGATAGGTGAACAAACATTGCGACTCCGAGCTGTCCTCAGAGCACACCCATCCACCAAGACAACAGACAGCAGACAACTGACAACAGGCAACAGACAGAGCATCCCTGACAGCAGACACCGCAGGACAGGCAGCAGGCGGCAGACACAAGATAGCGGGGAGCTCTCCGACACACGCACGTCGATTGCTGACAGCAGACACCGCAGGACAGGCAGCAGGCGGCAGACACAAGACAGCGGGGAGCCCTCCGACACACGCACGTCGATTGCTGACAGCAGACACCGCAGGACAGGCAGCAGGCGGCAGACACAAGATAGCGGGGAGCTCTCCGACACACGCACGTCGATTGCTGACAGCAGACACCGCAGGACAGGCAGCAGGCGGCAGACACAAGACAGCGGGGAGCCCTCCGACACACGCACGCCGCGTGCTGGGTGGGGACTCCCAGAATACTCCCGGCAGCTCGGCTCTATTTCCGCCCGGTTGCTGCGGCGGCAGCGGCACAGGGGAGCCTCGCGCTCACACCAGACGACGGCTGAGTGTGGGCAGACCGGCCACCGTCGGGAACAATTCAGGGGTCTGAACGCCGAGGGACGGCACAGTCCGCGCGCAGCCAATGAAGGTGTGACCGTCGGAGAGCAACAACTCCGACCCTATAGGCCAAGGATGACACTGGAAGCCCAGCCACGATTGGAATTTGCTGCTGCAGCCAACGTGATTATCCTGAGCGAGCAAAAACGGCAAGAATCTCTTATCACTTCCTGACATAGAGATGACTGCATCAACTGCTCCATCAGCTGACAGAAACACATTGACTGCAGTAAGTCATATATGACAAATTTCCCCAACTGGGTGCAACAAAGGTGATGACTAGCAATGACTAGCAAACGTTCAGTTAAGTTACACGACGGCACGGAAATATTCTGAAAGCAATCACAACTGTCATAATTAAACGAAACAGAATCGTGTCGTCCACGAGGATAATTATCAGTTATCACTGGCAGTGAATCAGCAGCGACATACTTCCATATCTTATCCCCAAGGGTCAATTTCTTAACATTCAAGATTTCATGCGCAGCATGCAGTGGAACTGTACATGAGTCTTCGTCTACTTGCTGACGTCCCTAAGGCCCGGGCAAAGCGCCAAATGAGGGCCCTGGAAAACGCCACTAACGTTACACGCGACAGCCGAACGGGAGGACAAGACGAACATGACGTATGACAGTGGAGCAAGAGCAAAGAAATGTCAATAAACGCTGACTAGACTCGGACTCAGTCATCAAATTTTGTCAACACTGCATAGACGGGAACGTACGTGTTTCAAACAGGCGAACAAAGCTTCAATTTAAACAGAAACCACAAGGGACGGTTTCGACGCTTTATTACATATGCCTCGCTATTTCTTCGTCGGTTTCCTCAATAATCGTAGGGAGATTAGGCTGATAAAATTTAATTGGAGTCATGCCCTTCACACTGCTCAAAAACGACATCGCAAGACCATTTTCCTCGAAATACTTGAGTATGTCGTGCTTTAGGTCATGTTGTCTTCTTGCGTTGCTTTTGTTTACGTACCCTGCTTGAGATTTGCACTTGTTGTGGAAAATATTCGACAGGTCCATCATGTGTGACTTCAGCGCGCTTTTCCTTTCCTTCGCTGCCAATGTCCGCGCCGCCAGGTCCAGTTTCGGGTTCGGTGTTGTGGACGCATTCAGCGTCAGCCGGTTCATCTTCTGGATGGCCTCCTTCAGGCTAGCCCTGCCGTCGCCCTGAGACATCTCTTTACTGGTGCTGGCCTCCTTCAGCCGCCATTTCTGATAAGCGGGGTGCATCAGGGAGGGCCGCATGGTGAGCCGCGATCCACCGGTCACCGTGCCGTGCGTCAGGCTGGTGAGCACGCCCTGTGGCACGCTCACGCTGAGTCCATCCTGTGTCCGCACACTCAGTTTCTTCAAAGGCTTGGAGTCGGCGCTAATCGAACGCTGCTGAAACTTCCTCCTCTTCATTCCCAACGGAAAGAGGGTCATCGAGGAGGAAGACAATGGTGCCATTGCCTTATTGGGCGCGACAGGATCCTCGAAGGAGAAAACCGGCATGATTAAAGAAGAAACAAGTTTTTACGATACAATTTCAGAACCACTAGAGAAAATGCTCGCAACAATAAACTGTGCCCTTGCAAACGTGCTACAAACAATCGTCCTTTTCATAAACAGCGGCAGATAGTTATTCGTCACCAGCCCATCCATTCCCCTAAAATCAAATTTGAGCTGCCCATCGTTTGACTGTCTTGTCTCATACGTACTGATTTCGCGAAATGGCTGCACGGCACGTGCAGGGGCGTAAGGATTTACTTCCTGGTGTGAGATGCATCGCATTGCAGAAATAGTAGAAGTGAACCGAAATCGACGATATGCTTATCGATACCATGCCAACCGATGAAATTGATGTACAACGATAATCTTTTAAGCAGCTTTTTTGCGTGAAGGCTTTCGGGGATTACTTTCTCTATTCATGTACCACCCTTGGTTAATGAACTGACTAAACGCTCATGTAACTAATCAAGTTTTCATTTCAGCCGCCTGACAGAAGCAAGTTATTTAACCAAAAGTGAGCAAGGGATAGGAATGATCTCAAAAGCTACCGTTTAATAACAACGGCCTGTTGGAAATATTACGTCTAATCCTGACGCACAACGCACCGGTTCGAGATTATCAACCGATACACATTGGTAAACGAGCTCAAACGCATCACAGCCAGGCAGTCACAGCACAGCAAAACCTGCACGGCCAGCTCAGGCCAAAGGCGCCAAAAAAGCACGTAGCAAAAAGTCGACGTGAGCTATATGCGGGAGCTCTCTGGTGAGACCATCCCCTTAACCAATGATGGACAAGGCTGGCAGCGTTGTGTGGCATAAGAATTGAAGGGGCTGTGAGGCAAGGAATCGTCGCAAATCCATCTGGAGTGAGGTGTTTTAGCTCAGGCGACTAATTCCCGAAAATCACGCTTCCAATGCAACTTACCCCGAAAATCGCCCTTGCCAGAGAAATAATCCCCGACAGTCCTCCACCCTAAAGCTCGACCAACGTCCGCACAGTGCCTAAGTCGCCCTAATCTCCTAGCCGAGCCTTCGACAGGATACGTGACGCGGGCACCTTAGACACTTCAACAGGGACAGCCACACGATAAGCCAAAGAGCTCGTTACAAGACCCACAGGTGTAACCCGATTGTCCGTTTATCCCACTATCTCATCAGGTGCTCAATCCACGGGAGGCTCCGGCACTACAGCGGGGTGGGGGGGGTGGGGGGACGTGTCAGCGTGACTGGTACTAACCGAGTTCATCCCAGCAATCTGGTCGCTGTTAATAGGGTTGATAAAGCGGGAGGTGGCTTCATTGCGGCGAAGGACTCTGATGCGCCTCCTCTGATGGTAAAATGGCACATTCACGCAGAGACGGCCGTCGTGGCCATCTAATCTGTTCCTGCTAATTTGTACTGCTCGCAAATCGGATCCGTCGAGGGGGCTTTCTTCCAAATATTGGGTCAAATTTCGAATAAAATGCCAGCTTAAGACGGAGTAAATGTTCGCCCTACAGTCCTCGACACCCTCGGTCTCTGTCGTCGAAATCATGTTTGCACTACTGTCCTCGAGTAAATGTCCGCACTGCTGTTTCATACGAGCACCTGGGCAATCTGCACTGCCAAATCGACCCAAGCATTCTGCAGAGCACTTTTTTCCTCATCATGTACATCACCAAGTACATCAACGCAAATACACAAACTAACAACTGACCCACTCAAGGCGGCGAGGGATAACTGCGGTGTGCCGTTTTCGCTCGGGCGTAGAAACCCATCGATCCAAATCCAAACCCGTACCTGCCGGAGAAGTCGGCCACAGTGCCCTCCCATCAAATACCTGATTATTTTTTTGCAGTCAGTTATTCACACCAGCGAACGGAAGCGACGCCGGAGCATGCGCTTAAGACGGAAGGATAACAAGATCCCGGGTTCAAGCCCAATGCGCAGCCGAATAATTCGCTGTCAAGGTTAGTGTGCAAACATGACGGCGAGTTACGTTCTGGGGCGTATCGTCAGCTTGCCTTACTTTACACCGTGACGTCATGAGTGGCTGGACGCGACAAACAGCCCATCATGCCACGCAAACCAAGCAAGGTATCCTATAAGTTATGACCTTCCTTGGTGAACGCCAAAAGAAAGCTTCGAAACAGCTGTACGCACACCATTATTTCGTGCAGTGCTTCTTCAAGGTGAAAAACATTGTTTGCATCTCTACAAAACGCTGCGGACGAAACACAGGTATATATAAAACTGCTTGGAAGCGTCCCTGTTACTTTGTTTGAGGAAATATCAAAGCCAATAGAATACTACGCTGACGTTTCGCCCCGACGTTTAAACAGACACTCAAAGTGTAACCTAACGAAAAAAGAGGAAGGGGCAGATGCCAAACCGGCTAACACACACAATCACCGTCAACTATGCAACAGCCCAACATCAGAGGCTTACATGGTGCAACGCTCGCAAACACAACATGAGAAACTGCTACCTCGCCCAGACCAGCCTCGGGTCGAAGAGCACCCCACCGTCTGCCGCCGTTCTTGGCGCGGTCCGCTAGCTGCCGGGCGCCGGCCACTCACGTAAGGTCGGATGAAGCCCATGTCGTGGAGGTCGGCCCACTCCTCCGTGTCCGGCAGGCGGCAGATCGACATCACCGGCATGGCGACGGGTCACGAGAGGTCGCGGCGACGACTCCGAGTCACGACTGCGCGGCGCAGGACACCCGAGCGCGACTGCCTAACGCGGTTGCTGTTCGGAGACATGGGTCAGCGGCGGCACGCGCGCGCGCGCAGGGCTGCTGTCAGAGCTGCCTTCTATTCAAAAATCGTCAAAAATAGCTATGTTTACGAAATGTAACGTCTAAGAGTCGTTACCAGGATGAAAGTGGGAGGCAATCGGTTAAAACGGACGGTACGCTGGTAAGAACGGATTTCTGACCCAACGTGAAGCTACGAACCCACATCTAGTTGGAAACATGGCAATGCCCCATACGTTGGCTCCCTGAAAACGCATTCCGAAGCTGGGCACGGAAGTGTGACGTCCTTTAAAACACGACGCGCGCAAGCGCAAAAACGAAGTGAACTTTGAAACAGCAACCACGTACGGCAGTGAGCCGGCCGAATACCAAAATCCTCCGCGGCGTCTTTCACCGGGCCGCCACGCCGCTGCGCGCTTCCACCCACCTCTCCGGCACACTCCCGAGTCGCAAGTGCCTCCTCGCCATGCGCTCCGTCGGGCCCGACCAAGTTTCCACCGATTTCCTCTTCCACAGCGCACCCGAGCGTAAAAAATCGAACAGCCTGTCCGCGCGACGGCGGCTCGGCTCTGGCTCCGGCCGCGGCCGGTGGCGGCGACCGGCGCGGAGCCGCGGCCGCCGCCGGCCGACAGCAGCTGGACGGGGAGATGACCGTTCCGTCGGACAGCTGCCGCGCCAGACAGCGGTAACTGTCGCCGACGACGCCGGCCGCGCCGGCAGACGCCGCTACATCTGGGGCGGCGGCTCGCGGCGAAACCCCCCACCCGGTCTGCGCAGGTCGCCGACCCGGAGGGCGGCGTGGGATATTCCTCTTCCGGGGACGTCGAGCGCTCTCTCGGCACTAAATGTCCAGGGCACTGGCAAGCGATGGGCCATGGGCGCACCGTCCAATTTTTCACGTTATAGGCCTCCACGCCTGTCGGGGGGTCGGTGACTCGGACCGAATGCGCAGTACGGGGGATTACAAAGGAACTCAGTGGCTATCTAATGGAACGGCACAGGACCTATTGGGGACACTACAGCTATCAACAGTGAACAGGGCTACGCTACACTTCCGAGGGCCGAGGAAAAGGCCGTCGAGATTATCGGCACTGGGCACACCAAAACACGTGTTTCGAACTTGGTACGAAGAATAACCCGTCACAAGACTGAACGACCGCACGACTGATGAGGACTGACAACTGGCACTGAAATCAGCCAGCACCGCGCCAAGGCTCAAATGCATCACCGGAGACATTGAGTACCACTCGAACTGCTGCCACACTGACCGAACAACGACGTTACCAGCACACACCATTATGCACCTGCACGAGCACGCTTTCGACAAACATCTGTGTCGCCTCCACAACAGAGAACTGAGACAAAAGCTGCTGGAGATGAGCAGGAGCAGGAGCGCCAGAGGGCTCCTGCCATCCTAGCGCGGTGTGAAAACAACATCAGACATCGCGTCCGGAGCAGTTTACATCAGAGGTCTGATAGACACATCATTTAGCAAAGCAAATGAACTTGCGTATTCTCTATTAATTTTTGACAGGCAGAATGCAAGTCGTGCTTATGTGTACTGCACTTGAAATGTTTTTACGAGGTCACGTTGTTTTCTGACCGTTAGCATCGTACTCAATTCGGATACGACGATATATATGTAAATATGATAAGATGTAAAAATGATGTAAATATGATGTAATCATATTTACTGAGTCACGAAAAGGTTTGGTTGAACGTATTCATATTGATTTACCTCACGTCATCTAGAGTAACAAACGCCGCCATCGACGTTGAAATTTACATTTTTCCTTAGCTACGCAACTGATATGCTGTGAAACGAATAGTATATTAGCAAACTACACTTCGTATAGCACTGCATGTGGCCTATTCAGTCCTTCTGTCGGTGGCTGGACGCCAAAAAAAAAAAACGCAACGCCTCCAATGCTGCTGCTCACAACTGGAGCCTCTTCTCTCCTCTTACTGGGGTCTACGTCTTGCGAACAAACTCACAAACCCGGCAAGACCCGCTGGCGCAGTCCCCACAGTGCAGAACATGAGGACCGAAAGCGACATCTGAGACACCAAGATCTCGGTAATGCCTTCGCATAATGGACAGCACGGTAAGACCTGGACCGTCACCGCCAGACGTCCTGACCTGCCTGCGTGCTAGCCCTGGCCGAACTTAGACGTTTCCCCGCTTCGAATTCCCTTCAAACTCCGCAGCACAGCCGCGCCGTCGGGGCGTCCACCGTACCAAAATGCCATCGCTATGACTCTCCCGCCGTCACGCACGCCAGCGGCCCCCGGGGCTGCAGAGGGCCTGAGTCCTGTGCGGGGCTCGGTCCCGCCGTAACACACGCCAGCGGCCCCCGGGGCTGCAGAGGGCCTGAGTCCTGTGCGGGGCTCGGTTCCGCCGTAACACGCGTCAGTGGCCCCCGGGGCTGCAGAGGACCTGAGTCCTGTGCGGGGCCCGGTCCCGCCGTCACGCACACCAGCGCCCCCGGGGCTGCAGAGGGCCTCAGCCCTGTGCGGGGCCCGGTCCCGCCGTCACGCACACCAGCGCCCCCGGGGCTGCAGAGGGCCTCAGCCCTGTGCGGGGCCCGGTCCCGCCGTCACGCACGCCAGCGGCCCCCGGGGCTGCAGAGGGCCTGAGTCCTGTGCGGGGCTCGGTCCCACCGTCACGCACGCCAGCGGCCCCCGGGGCTGCAGAGGGCCTCAGCCCTGTGCGGGGCCCGGTCCCGCCGTCACGCACGCCAGCGGCCCCGGGGCTGCAGAGGGCCTCAGTCCTGTGCGGGGCTCGGTCCCACCGTCACGCACACCAGCGGCCCCCGGGGCTGCAGAGGGCCTCAGTCCTGTGCGGGGCTCGGTCCCACCGTCACGCACACCAGCGGCCCCGGGGCTGCAGAGTTCCTGAGTCCTGTGCGGGGCTCAGGCACGTCCGGTCGCACATCTGGCCCCGTCTCCAGCAATCAGCGGCTGTTCAGAGGCGACCGGTCGCGGCATTCCAACTATGCGGCGACGGAGGCGGCGCGCGCGGGCACGTCCCTGATTCCTGGCGCGGGGTCGGCCGCACGCCGCGCCGGCAGCCGCGCTGGCAAAGCAGCCCATCCAGGGCGCGGGGCGTCGGCAGCGGTCAGCGACTACCGAGTCCACAGGGCCGTCCGACGCAGCGCCAGCGATTACGGCATGACCTTATCTCGCGGCTTCAGAGACGGCGACCGCCGTGGCCACCGGACGCTGCGGTGCTGTACTGTACATAATCCGGTTAACCCACAGCAGTAGTACTATTCGCAGAGCCTCGTCAAGTAACATGGTCGCAGCACAGGCCGCATGTGACTAGAAGCATCGGGCAACCCTCCCACCCATCCCACCCACACAACGCACGCGACACACGCCTGCTGAAAAGAAAGTCACGCTTGCCGAACATGTTGCAAATCCTAGTTTTGAATTGACGCTATGAGGCGTCGGGCAGACCCTGCGTGATTGCTTTCTCGCTGCACTGCCGCGGCGCAGAGGAAGTGTGGTTCAGTGGACCTGACCAGGCCGCTCGTCCATCGAACAGCGGCAGATTGGGGCCGTCCACCGCAGGGAAATTGGTACTCAGCACAGGGCGGCGCCCGTTATCCATACTGGCCAACGGCATTTCAGCTCCACAAAGATGGCATGCATCCGCTGGCTGTGGGTCGACGCCTGGGGTGAACTGGGATGGGAACGGAAACTTTCAAAGGACACGGTTAAGGGCTGGACTGAATTTCAAAACTGGTCAGGTTCAGTGGACTGAAACAAGGCAAGTAATTTTCTGTGAAATTGCGTTAAGGTGTAATGAACTCATTTGAATTATTGCGGAACATATTTTTGCCTCGTCGAAGGCGGCATGACGGTATTGGAACACATGGCAAAGGCGTAAATGTGTGGGCGGACCCATTATTGCCAAAGGCGATTCGGGATTGGCGAAAGGCGTAGGCTACCGACAGACATAGGCATCTAATATTATAATCACGATTTTTCCAGCCCCTCCATATATACAGGCAGCTGGCTACGACTGAGAAGGTCGAGCAAAACTGTTTGTGTTGGCAGCAAAGGTTCATACCAGACAATCCAGAGCGCGGCATTTTCTACGATCTAACAAAGTTACCTGACCGCAAACAATCTCTGCAGTCAGCGCACTCTTGCAACACAATTACTCCTACTTCTACTACTATTACTACCACTTCTACTACCAAAGTTTTCTTCGAATGAACGATCTATGGCATGGCACATACATGCCACGGAGATACACAGCTACCTTCCTGAATGTATTCAGCATGTCGTAGGCGGACCACGGGTGACCGATTGGCGGCACACTCCTACTGTTACTACTTCTACTACAACTTCTACTACCAAAGTTTCTTTTCGAATGAACGATCTATGGCATGGCACATACATGCCACGGAGATACACAGCTTCCTTCCTGAATGTATTCAGCATGTCGTAGGCGGACCACGGGTGGCCGATTGGCGGCATACCTCTACTACTTCTACTACTACTTCTACTGCCAAAGTTGCTCTTTAAATGAACGATCTATGGCATCGCACATACATGCCACGGAGATGCACAGCTTCTCTCCTGAATATGTTATATCCTGATATATATTCTGATATCCTGAGTATAATATATCCTGCATGTCGCAAGCGCCCACGGGTGGCCCATAAGCAGCATACTTTGACCGCCCTGCCTGCACTGCCAGGACGGGCTACGGGTCATATCTCCACCAACCGGCTTCCAAGCCCTGAGGCACTGTCCCTTAGCCGTCTGATCTCACCCTGGCGTGCATGCCCGCATGGCGGCTGCCCACCCAACAGCCTGTTCAAGTCCCCAGCAAAACAATCTGGCTCAGTCCACTCATCAAGCTGTCCGTCAATACCCAAGAGGGGAGAAGGGGAGCTTTATAAACGCAAGGCGCAACGGCCAAATCACAAGCCAAGTGTTAACAAACTGCTCGTATCGGACGAAAAATAACATCTCGAGAGAGTGCATTTAAAACCATTGCCACACTTTTAAACTGGCGCATGCAGCAATGAACATCACTGAATGTCGGCACATTTCCAACTTTGTCCATGCGCATCTGCGCGTTCTTCACAAAAAGAGCGCCGGCCGACCCAGCGCCTGTAGTCACGACGACCTCACTGTCCGCTCCACTCCACCCTCCACCCCCGCGCGGGCGGCCGCTCCACACGCACCACAGACCACGCGTTGGCCCCTCGCCGCACGGGCTGTCAGAGCCCGAAGCTGTGTGGCCGCGGCAGCGACGCGCGCCGTGCCAACATCGAGCGCGCCGCGACGAGTGTCCGTCGCGTGCGACGGTGCGACGGTCCGGCCGGCGGGCACTGCGGGGGGCGAAGGACAGTCGGCCGCGGTCGGCGCGTACCTGCTCTCCGAGATCGAGGCCGGCACGTACCTGCTCTCTGAGATCGCGGCCGGCACGTACCTGCTTTCTGAGATCGCGACCCGACCGACTCAGTACCTGCTCTCTG